AAGATTATCTGGGCAACATATTCCAGTGCCTCACCACTCTCACAATAAAGAATTATTTTGTAATATCTAATATGACAAAATAACATGACTGTGGGCCAAATAAAACCTTTGTCTGCTCTCACATTCCCTATCCCAAGCAGGATTGGCTCCCCTTAAAATTTGAAATACCAGAAATTCCTAGAAATTTATTATAATGCTGCAGTTTTCAAGTCCAAGGCATGTGCAATTGTGATATTGATGGTGGTAGTTCCACCAACAGACACCTTTTTGTCTTACCCGAGTTCCAGATTTTCTCTGGAGCTGATGCTTGGAGGGATGGGGAGGATTACTTCCCATGGAGGAGGATGGAGGATTACTTCCTTCAGATTCTTATCTCTACCTCTAATCCCCACACCTTAAATCTATCAGGGTATGTATAGCCTGGGCTGCCCCAGCCAGGTTGCAATCGCAACGTGTGCAGCTGCTCCAAGTTCTAAGAGTCTGCTGCAGGTGATAGAGCACAGACAGCTATTGGGTGTTTACAGCTTTTAAAGGAAAGATGAGTTAGAATCTCATTTGGTGTAGGTTTTTCCACTGAACATAGCTATTAACTGATTTTCAAAGGCCTTTGGTATTTGCTAGTAGTCAGTTTTCCCAAAGGCATTGTGAAGATCAGATAGACTGGAAGTACCATCAATTTGTTGATCTTGTATGTTCACTATACTGATGAAGTTTAAAAGTGCAATTACTTCAGATTCCAACTGTATCACTGCCATCAGTTACTCTAGTCCTTAAAATGCTTATTTGTACTTAACAATAAACAGCAAAAAACTTCATGGAGGATGATGACTTCTCATTTCTTTAACACAAGAAGTGGCACGGAATCCAATTTTTTTGTTTGCATTTTTTTTTTTCCAAGGTCACTTAGTTAATTTTTCAATCGTAAAATCATATGTGTCTGTGATAGTTTCAGTCTAGGCCTTCCTGGAGACCAGCCTGTAACCAGGAAGGAACTAGGGAAGTGACCAAGGAAGTGTTTCATGCTATTCCTTTATGTAAACTGAGGTTTACATAAAAAAGCTGGTCAGAGACACCTCTTTCCCTCTTCTTCCAGTAAGGTTTGGGAATGGTAGGTCCCTGTCTCGGCCTTGCTTATCTGGAGCTGAGGCCTGCAGTGGCTGCTGTTGTCTGTCACACGTGAGGGGAGGGTGCTGGGCCGTGTCTGACCGTCCTGCTTTTCTCAAGGGAAGTGGTGAGATTTTGCTAGTTCTTTATTTTGTTAGTTACTGGGTTTTTCAATTGTGCAAACCTGGTTTGGTTTTGTCCATTTTTGTCTCTTTTTGTCCTTTTTCCCATTTTCCCTTCCCCTCTTTCCCTTTTGGAAGCGATTTGGGATTCTTATGTTCATATGTACATAACACCTTACCTGTATATCTGTAATATATGTAATATATATATATATATATATTATATAGCTTTTGCTATTCCATTTTTTTTCTTTTCTCTCTTCTGCTAGCTTTTCTTCTGTAGTCTATGGGGTTTGGCAGGAAGCCAACTACAACCGGCTACAGCCTCTCCCAGACCAAGACTAATGCTGGCAGTGTTTTCAAGCAGCTCTGCTATTGGTATCTCCACAAGGGATTCCTTTAACAGTAGAGACAAAAAGTACAGGTGAATATCACAGAATCAGGGGCTTACTTTGACAGAAACCTTGAACCTCATCTTGTTCCTCAATACCAATAAGTTTGTTGTTCATTCCCGGCTTTCCTATAAGAAAATTTATGATTAAGGCAAGATCAACAAGTTGAGAGCAACTTGTATTCGTGATTGCAAGTTGGTTTTTTTCCTTACCTTACGTTATTGCATTTTTGTCCCATGGGGATTTCTGGTGGATAAACATGGCTAAAGAAAATTCACAAATATTTTGCTTAATGTTTCACGAATTGTTTTTCCTGTAACCTACATATTCCATTAAAATGGTCTCAATGTTGCAGCTTTTAACAATGTTTGCTTTTTTAAAATAAGTTAAATATTCATGAAGGTTTTAAAATTAAATAACTTCAGATTTTTCTTTGTGAAAATTTTTTCGTTTTTATCATTGCCACTAATATTAGTATCCTGAATAGATATTGTAATAACTAGAATAGGCTGAAATAGTCTGAAATTTTAAAAATGAAAAGAGGTCATAATTATATTTATTGGTGCACTGAGTTCTAGATGACAAGGGAAATTATTTAGTCTGAACATTTTCCTCAATGAATATGAAAATAAAATAAAAATAGACTCCTCCATTTGTTAGAAATTATCTTATAAGAATCGATGCTGTAATTACAAGCCTTGTGTAACCCTGTGTGCCAGTTATCTTACTGAGCAGAGCATACTAGAGCATATTTAACAGACGAAGTTGAAGAAGTCAAGCAAATATTTTGCAAAACAAGTCAAAGATCTTCTGAACTGAGCCATGGCAAAGTCCTGTCCTTCGGGAGAGGGGGAGCTTGTTGTAAGTATACAGTGTAAATGTTCCCGAGTAATTTCCTTTCTGACTTCCATAAATCACAGAGTACTTTAATTGCGAATGCATTACCAGCAGACCATGGCCTAAACAGGATTATGGATTTGCATTTGTTGATAAGATTAGCCCACGTTTTTGTAGTTTACTTAAGATCCTTTCAAATATTTTTCTCTTATCTATAAACTACTGATTGCATTTCAGGCTGCTTAATTATTAATCTCTATTAAACAAACATAGTAATTAAATATTACTTGATATAAAACATACTTTTGTTAAACACTGAGTTCATTTTCTGGCTAAACAAAATGAGAAGTAGGAAAGGAAAAGACAAATACTGAACTTTTCTTGTTTAAATTTCACTTTTTTCAAGTTCATAAAATAGTTGTAAAAATGAATTCATTTTGCAAACTTCTGATATTTTATAAAGATGTTTCCATTCAATATACAATCAGTCTGCAACTTCTAGAAATGTTTTTTAAAGCCTAGTTTGAAATAGGATGATCAGTTCAGATTGCTCGAGTCAGTCACATGGTGTTCATTCTGTTAATTAAGTTATTCTTAATGAATTCTGAATCTAGTCCATTTAGTCAGGAGGTTTCAAAAACCAATGTTTGTTTTTCAGGAGTCTTTACAATACAGGAAAGTAGAATAACCCGCTCTTCACAGCCATGGTGCATAGAACAAAATGTAACCAGTTTAATTTACAAAGAGGGACAATTTTGTTATATATTAGGAAAAAATTCCCACAGTTGAGGAACAGAATAAATTTCCAGAAGAGGTTGTAGAGTCCCGGTCACTGTAGGATTTAAAACCAGAAATGCACATGCCTGTAATGGTGAATATGTGGACCTTGTGTGGGCATGTGGA